CCCGGCCCTCACTCCGCCTGCCCCTGAAGGGTGGTGTGGCCAGCCCTGCCCACGGGGCAGGCCCATGCTGGGGGCATGTAGACCCTGGACGCACAGGGGAAGGTGGCAGGGGTGGCCCAGGGTCTGTGACCCCAAGACACGCCCAGGCTCACAGAAACAGAAACCCCTGCAGTGGCACGACCCCACTGTGTCTAACGTGAATGTGCATGTGAAGACAGCACGGGACATCACTTCCTGGCCCCGCCCCACTCAGACCCCAAGGCCCAGGCTATGCAGGGCCTCAGTCCCTGAGCTGGGCCAGAGACCGCCAGCCCGCGGGTGCCCCAGGGACTCAACCCATGAGCACTGACTTGACTCTCATGCTGCCCATCTGAAGGCGGGAACGCCACTGAGGTCCCCTACAAAGCGCCTGGCCAGAGGCTGGTCCCTTCCTCTCTTTTCTTCAGTTCACAAAAACAAACAAACAGACTCTGTGGGTTCCGGGAAGGCTGAGTCACCACTCCCGGCTGCCACAGGGCGTTAGGTTTCAGATGCCCTGTACTGTCCACGGGGCGGCCGGGCCCTCAGAGATGGCAATGTCCACAGGCTCTGGGCTGAGACAGGTCCGAGCTGCCCCGTGGCTGTGGGCGCCCTGGACGCCCTGCCCCACGGCCCACGCCCCCACACCTTCATGCTCTGCTGTCCTGGTCAGACCCTTCCCGAGGGCCCCGGGCCAAGAATTGCCTGAAGGCGTGTGCCCACCGGTGCCCCTGAGGGAGGGCCAGTGTGGGCCTTCCCAGGACTCGGCCCCCAGCCCAGTTTCCAGCTCCCACTCCCAAGTCCAGAAGCTTCTTCCTGGACACCTGGCCCAGCCTGGAGGAGGGGACACGGCAGGCCTCCCTCACCAGTGCCCTCCGGCCCAGGCTTGGGCGCAGCTGGAGTCTGGGCCGCGGCTCCTCGGGTCCTGCTGCCCAAGACCCTCCCTCAGGGCTGGCCTCGCCCACCCGCCCCGGGCAGGAGCCCCCGGACCCCAGCCCTCAGGCACCACAGAAAGCTGGCTGGGCCACCAGGGAGAGCGTTACACAACCCACCCCCCCAGATGGGGTTCTGCCAGCCTGGTCCCAGTTCCCACCCAGCCTCCACCGATCCTGAGACTCTGCGGGCCTCCCTAGGTGCTGCCGTCCACCCCTTCCCCTCGGCACTGGCCGTCTCCTCCAGAGGGCCCTCCCAGCCCACCTCCACTCTGTTACAGGCCAAGTGTATCCAGACTTGGGGCTCCCCTGGCCTGGCTGTTGGGGTCAGTCTTCCTATGGGTGGGGGTCAACCCTGCAGGTGCTGAGCAGTGTCTGTGGCCTCCCCCCCACCCCCGGCGTGTGTGCCCGGGGCAGAGTCGCCTGAGGAGAACGAGCTTCCGGAACGCTCCTCTCCTGCATCAACTCTGGTCTCCCTGCAGGGAGGGGTCCCGTGACCACAGGGCAGGGCGGAGGCACAGACCACCACACACCTGGCCCCTCCACGGACACTGCCCATGTGTGCACAGCCCTGGTGGTTCCGGTGGGTCCCACAACCCAACCCAGGAGGCCGCAGGCACTGACCTTGTCGTGGGCAGAAGAGGCTGTGCTCACGTCCCAGATGGTGGGCACCTGGCTGAGGCTGTCGGCCGGCAGGAAGTCGGGCGTGTCGGCGATGTCTGACAGGGAGTCCACGGATGATGAGAAGATGGAGGCGTTGGAGAGGTCATCCAAGTAGGAGGCGTCCTGGAAGACAGGCTGTGAGGGCGGTGGCCACGACTCAGCCGTGGGAAGGAAGTTGCCATGGGCCATGGCGTGGAGGGACCTTGTGGACGTCACACATCAGTGAGACCCACACGCCGAAGGACACAGGATATGACTCCATTTATATGAAATGTCCAGACCATAGCTTCGTGGGTGCCCGGGGCTGAGGGGGGTGACGGCTCAGGCGGACCAGGCTACTTTTGGGGGCAATGGAATGTTCTGGAACTGACGGTTGCACAACTGAATACAGGGACATCACTGAACTGTACACTTTAAATGAGTGGGTCGGACAGTGCATGACTCACATCTCCGTAAAATCGTAAAAAGTACATGACCAGACAAGCAGAGGGTGAGTGCCAGCCCCCACCCACTTTTCAGCACCCTGAAGCCAGAGATGCCACAGGGAAGCTGAGAAGGTAAGGGCGTGAGGAGAAGCCTGGGTGTCGACCTGTCCCCCTGCAAGGCTGCAGCCAGAGGCAGAGCCTGTCCTGGGGAGCTGCATACGCACGCGTCACATGTCAACCTGGTCAGTAACATCAAGGCGGGAGGTGGGCCGAGGGCTCAGTCTCCACCCCCTCACCCACCCTGGACTGGGCTGGCCACCATGGCCACTCTGGGACCTGATCCAACCAGAGACCCACACGATGCCCAGCAGGTGGGGTACCCACGTTGCCACCCTTTGCAGACAGGGACCCACGTGCAGAGCCGTGTCCCTGAGGTCTGGAGCTGGGGAAGGGGGTGAGGCACTACCACCTGGGCAGGGGTGGGCCCACTGAGCCCCGGGGCCCTCCAAACACTGCCCTCTGAGTTGTGGGGGACCCAGCATGTCGACCTAGGCCAGGCCCTTGCAGGAGCACATTCTGGGCAGGGTGGGGTGAGCCATTCAGACGCCTGGGTGGGCCAGGCCATGGGGTGGGGAGGGCTGGCAAGCCGGGTATAGTGGGGAGTCCCTGACCCTCAGCGGGGGAACACCTGACATGGTGAGGCAGAGATGCAGCCCTGCTCCCGGGGTGCTGGCCTGGTGCTACAGGAGCAGCTGGGAATTGGGCAGCCTTCCAGTGGGGACTGCTGGGTGGATGGCATGGCCCTGAGCTCTGCGCCAGGAAGACAGTCGTGGGCGGGAGGGCCAAGGTTCAGGCAGACTCCCTGCAGCCGGAGGTCCTGTCTCTAGACCCTCATTCCCATCTGCCCTACCCAGGACCCAGACCCCAGGACCCCCCCCGAAACTCAGACCCCAGATCACTGAGACCCCACAGCGACCCAGACCCAAGGCCACTGAAGCCCCAGAATCCCCCTGTGACCCAGATCCCAGACTCCCCGACTGACCTCCCTGGGACCGTCCAGGGCATCAGAGAAACTGTCCCAGCCTCGGGGTCACATGGGGGTCCCAGATGGCCCCGGAGTGGGAAGGGACAAGAGGGGAAACTGAGAAAACCCGCATAAAGAGTGGCCTGCGGTTAATGACAGCGTTTCAGTGCTGGTGTATTGGCTGTGAGGGAAACTGAGGAACTCTGATCAAGCGTGGCCGTCAGTAAGGACGAATCTGGCTGTGCCACCCTGATGTGAATGTAGCCTGCAGGCATCCGGTGGGCTGGGAGCCACCCGGCTCCTCCCAGCTCTCCTTCCACTCTGAGACGCACATCGAGGAGGGGGCACGTGTGGCTCTCCAGCTCCACCGCCGCTGCCCCTGCCGTGTCCCGGAACCTCCCCTCCCCCCAGCACAGGACGCCGCGAGAGGCACATGCGACTCGCACTCCCCAGGCCCCGACTCGCACTCCCCAGGCCCCTCGATCCTCAGGGCGGAGGGCGGCAGCTCCAGAGGTCCCGGCTCTCCTGTCTGGCCCTGCTCCTGTGTGGGTGCTGGGGGGCCAAGAGCGGATGCCTGCCAGCAGCCAGCCCCAGGTCAGGACCGGACTCCCACCTGCCTCTGCTGACATCCACGGCGACGCAGACCCCAGACCACTCAGACCGCCAAGACCCCCATGGAAACTCACACTCAGACCACTGAGACCCCAGGATCCCCATGGCAATCCAGACCCCAGACTCCCGAGACCCAGGGGTCCTACCATGAAAACTCAGACCCCAGACCACAAAGACCCCTGGGTCCTCCATGGCAACCCAGACCCCAGGATCCCCCCTGAAACTCAGACCCCAGATCACTGAGACCCCCACAGCAACCCAGACCCAAGGCCACCCAGACCCCAGGCCACTGAAACCCCCAGATCCCCCAGCCCCTCGTGGCCCCTGCAGGCTGGCCTCAGGCTCCCAGACATCCACTGAACGCCCACCCACTTGAGCCCTTTTCTCAGTTATGGCCGCCCACCCCTGTGTATCCTCCCCAGGACCCAGTTCCCCAGGCTGCAGTGAGGACGCCCTGCCTCCCAGCCCTGGGGTCAGGCCGCAGAGAGCACTTGTCTCTGCTCCCATCCAGGCAAGACACACCCCCTCCCGCTGGGAGCCGAGCCGGAACAGCCCCGACAAGGTGCGGGCCCCTTGCCCGGACGTCTGAGACACTCTGAGACCCGTCTGAAGCCCTGGGGAGCCAGCCCCACTTGTGCACCCAAAGCCCGTCTCCAAACCCACCCAACCGCAAGGCAAGGCCAACAAGCACCCCACCCCCGACCCAGTGAGGCCCCAGCCCCCAAGCCGGCTGCCTCCATTGGAGGCTTCTCCCGCAGAAGCCCGTGTGGGTGGAGGGGACGCGGCCCCCTCACCTGACCCAGGTCCCTCTGGGGCCCCTTCCTGGGGGCTGGCCCAGCCCTGGCTCCCCACGTCCTGCCCCCGCGGGCCACTCCCAGCCCGTTCCCATGTCCCTGCCGCGAACTTTCCGGCAGTCACCCAGCAGTGAGCAAGCAAGGGGCGGGTGGGCCTCCCAGGGACCGGGGTCCCTGCGTCCCCTGGGGTCCCACTCCCGGCTCCCACCCAGCCGCTCGCCCAGGGATACCTTGTTGAGGGCCGCGAACTGCAGCCAAAAGCGCAGCTGGGACATGGTGACGGCACGCGGCCGCGGGAGTCCCCGGCAGAGGCACGGGCGTGCTCCCGCATGACAGCCGGGCGTGGGGTTCAGCGGGGCTGCCGGCGGCTCCCCGCCAGGCCGCATTTGCATGTGGGTTAGTCACCGCGGCTTCCTCCCGGCTGACTTTCAGGAAATGATGCCTGCCCGGTAAGTCAGCGCTTACTGGCAGCGCGCGCGGTTACTGTATGGGGCGGACTCCACAGACTGTCAACACGCATGGAGGGCCGGCCCTCGGCGCTCGCTCGGCGGGCACAGTGCCCAGTGCCTCGGTTTCCCAACTAAGGATGGCAGGCTCCCACGCTGCCACCCCTGCCACATATGCCCCCGGTGTCCCCAGAGCAGAGGCTGTAGGAGCCACGGCCCCCAAGCCACAGGCAGGGAAACTGAGGCCCGGCTGCCCTCCGGCCGGCCCAAACCTCGGTCCTCCACCACCCCCGCGAGGTGCCCCTCCCACCTCCACCTGGCTGTGCCCCCAGGCGGCCCCTCCCGGCGCCTTAGGGGCCGGCTGGGACTGAGCACCAGGGTCCCTGAAGCGCTCCCTCCACCCCTTCTTCGGCAGGCTCTGCCCTGGCAGCCCATCACCCCCACCCAGACTCAAGGGAACACAGGAGTCCTGGGAGAGGCAGAGGCAAGGAGACAGGAAGCACACTCGTTGGTGCTTTGACCCCGCTGCCCCTCGGGCACCCTGGCCCATGACCACGGGGTCCACAGACACCAAGGCAGGATGGATCAGACTCACGCTCGGAGCCACAGGCAAGCACAGCCCGCGTCCCCGAGGATCTGGGGTTGCAGGGAGGCCCCAGGATGGGGGCAGGAGGATGGCCAGGTGCCCGTGAGAAGAGGGGATGCCCATCCCCCCGGCATTGGGGCTGAGGCCCAGGCCGCCTGGACCGCGCCCCTCCTCAGAGGACGAGGGGCTCTGGCCTGCAGGCTCTGAACCCGACCTGGGGAGTGGGGATCCTGGGAGGGGAGCTGGAGGGGCTGGGAGGGTCCGGGTTGCTGGGACCACGCCCAGGGACCTGTAGGAGCTTGGGGGTATCACCGTGTTGGGGCCAGAGGTGGCCCCTGTGCACACCAGCCCGGGGCCCCCCGCCCTGGGCTCCGACGTGCCCTGCTGCACAGCCAGGCCCGGGCAAGGAAGCTAGCAGCAGTGGAAGCTGCCAGGTCCACATGCCCACCCTGGGCACCAGGGCAACCCCTTCCCCAAGTCCACCACAGCTGTCCACCTGGAAGCCACTGCCCCGAGTGCCCTGCTGGGTCCTTTGGCCTCCAGAAGCCAGCGAAACCCACCCCAGATGCCGCATCCTGGAGCCCCTTCCAGCAGCCACGGGCATCCCCTCCATGTGTCCCTCGACACTGCCCCCAACCGCCGTGTCTCCTTCGAGCTGTTTGCAGAGAAAGTTCAAGGACAGCGGAAAACGCCCGTGCTCTGAACCCCGGAGAGAGAGGGCTTGGTTAGAAGGGCCCCTGCTTTCACAGATTCGTCCCGGTGCTCGTGTGCAGGGTGGCGAGTCCTTCTGTGGTGAGAAACTGGAAGGCGGGGACTCCATCCTGAAGCTCACAGTCCTTGCATCTCGTCCATGGCAGATGCCGGACCCCACAAACATCCCTGGTTTCTCATCCACACTGCCAAGGACGAATGGTTGATGGCAGGCGTGTGGTCTCGGGCAAGGTGAAAGAGGGCATGAACATTGTGCAAGCCACAGAGGGCTTGGGCTCCAGGAATGGCAAGACCAGCAAGAGGACCACCGCTGCCAGCTGGACAACCCTAATAAACACAGGATCGCCGCTGAACCCAGCAGGGTCACTTCCAGGCTCAGACCACAAAGGAGAAATGCTCACGTTCACACCAGCAGATCCACGCAGACACAAGCGGAGACCGCCTTGGTGGCTGTCAACAGGTGAGTGGACACAGCGCACCCAGCTACGTGTGGACACAACTCAGCCAGGAACAGGAAGGAAGCTC